TATATATGTATATATATGTATGTATATATATATGTATGTATAGATACTTTATACTTGATTATTTTTTAAATAATTTCAAAATTCTAATCAACGTTTGATATTTCAATAAATATACATTAAGAAAAATTATATTGCATGAAATCATATCTATGAAATTTATTTAAACTAAACAAAATACTATAAATATTTAAAATATTCTGGAAATACCTATTCTTCAAAATATCTACTGTTCTGTTATTTTAACATATCTATAAAATTTTAATATAGCAATTTCTGATTTATTTTTATTTAGCCAAACTATAAGAAAAACAAATCAGTAGTAAAAAAGAGACTTTTCTATATCTGATTCATTAAACCTCAAATATTAAACTTTTAAGCAAATCTGTAAATTGAATCGAATAGTTTTGTTGAATAAATTAATATTCAATAAAAATTGGCATTGCTAAAAAAATCATCAATATTTAAAAATATCAATTTCCAAATATGTTTAAGAGAAAATTTCAACTTTCAAATATAAAAAATTATTTTTTAACTAAATATGTTTAAAAGAAATTCAACTTTCAACAGGAACGCAGGCTGCCAGCAAGGCAGCCAAAAGTATGAGTTGTCCCTTCATGTGATTATTATAGCTGTATTTAATGCCAGAGTTAACCAAACAACAGTGGAAATAAATATTATTATTGAATTCAAGAATTATGATAACAGCAGAAATAGAAATCTGAAATTGCAATAGCTCAACTCACACACTGGACGGGTGGAGGCTAGGTGAATTGGAAGGAGGCTGCAACAAGAGAGGAAGTGGAGACAGCAGCAGGTGGCTGTCCTGGATGGGCGATAGCATGTAGAGAAGTGGTTCAAGTGGGGGAAACAGCAGGAAGATAGCAATTCATTATTGTCCTAGGCGGCAGCAAGTAGGGAAATGGAGCAGGTGGCAGGGAACAATGGGGAAAAGCGATTCTTTCTGTTCTGGGTGGCAGCAGGAAGGGAACTGGAGCAGGTGGTGGTGGAACAACAGGAAAACATCAATTCCTGGCTGTTCTGGACAACAGCAGCAAGATAGGAGAACTGGAACAGCAGGTAATTCCTGTTATGGGCGGCTGCAGCAAGGAAGGAGAGCTACAACAGCAGGAAATGGCGGTTTTGGGCTGCAGCAGCAAGGGAAGGAGGGGAGCAATGCAAGAAGGGTGGGGAAGGGTAGAGAAATGATAATTGCCACATCGGGGGCTAGATACAATCGTAGCACCACTCAAATTCTTGGATACAATCCTGAAAAGAAAATTGAGACGCGACTATCCCAAAATAAATACACGAAAAAATTGAAACCCTAGGCATGACAAAACAAACAGATAACCCTAGGGTAACTATGGGTTGACCCCCCTAATGAAAATAGGCGGCATCTCTCTTGAAAGAACCGGCTCTCCCCTCAGAAGGCCTAGACCAGTTCGGTCGAAGAGTCTAGATGTGACTCCCGCCTCCGTCAAGATGTCCTACCCACAACACACGTCAGTTTTATTATTGCTTTTTATATGCTTTTTTGGGAGTTAACAGCTTCGATTTTTTTTTATTTGGTCAAATTAAGACGCAAGTGTCAATGAATACAATTTGAGGTTGGAATCATAAAAAAGCAATCTCAATAACCTGTACAGAATCAGGCAACATTTATTATGAACAATCCATTTCAAAAATGTCGCCCAATACAGTTTTCCAATCTTAAGACGCATTAGCAATTGGAGTTTTTTGTGCAGAGTTTTAAGAATAACAATATATCTTACCACTTATGTCCAAAGCTATAAAAAGTGATAACTCATCGGTTAGATTGGCTTCACCAAGATGCTGAAGAGCAGGGCCAACAGGAATTATTGAACCTCCTTGCAAGTATAAAATTGGCAAATCCTGAATTGTTTCAGACGAATGAGAGTGGGAAGAGCACAGAGTAATCTAGCATGTAAATTATGCAAAAACAGATTCAATTAAAGAACTGGGTACAGCTAGTAAGACAACTCACAGGATGTGAATCACCAAAATCAAACCTCATCCAAGTTCCATTAGGTAATTCATGAGATAATTCATGTGATCCACTTTCTGGTATTGAGCTGTTAAATAAGAGAAACACATTAGGGAAAGCACAAATATTATAATATCTCCATCCATTATATGTTTTAAAATTCAAAGGCATAGCTCAGCCTAAAGAAACTCAATAAAAAGAAACCAAGAAGCAGCTAGCCGCGCTATGACTTGTAAACACTAAGGCCCCATTTGGAGCGGAATTTGGGCCTCGGAAAATCAATGTTTGGACCGGCGTTCGGGGTAAGGCACGGGGCATTTTAAGCAAAACGCGGGCCTCGGGTTCGACCCCACGGCCCACGTTTCGTCTCTTAAATTTTACTCCGCTGCACTTCGTGATTCGTCGTCTGCCCTAACCTTCTTCGCCGAGCTCTCGCTTCCTCTACCCTAAACTCTCATTTTTGTCGTCTTCTTCCTCCGGTATCCTATTTTCCTATCTTCTGTTGGTGGATTTGCACATATTTTTGGAAAGGTTTTGTTTCCTCGTTTCTGATGGCTCTGTTGTGGGCTTCGAATTTTAATGTTTATGTTGGTTTTTTTCTGATGCTTTACACGAGATTTTGATATTTCTTTAGAAATTTATGAGATGGTGATGATAATGAAAGTTATGGATGTGGTGATGATGTTGGGGATGGTGATGTTGATGTAGCCAGATGAGTTAGGGACGACGGTGATTGTGTCGGTGGTGTTCGCGTTTCTAGTTGTGAATTTCAGATATCTACCTATTGAATGATCCCATCGCAAGTCCCAAAAATTCTGACCATCCCGGACTTTTTTTTTTTTGTTTATCTTTGTTTGTTGAGGGTTTTTAGGGTCAAATTTGATGGAATAGTAGATAAGAAACTACCAAGAGATTTCACCCTCATTTTGTGAGAATTTTTTAATATCGAGTGACTCTTCCTTTGAAAAAATTTTGATTGTGGTATGAGTACATTGAATACCAAGGTTTGTTTTGACAGAAGCTGGAATTGAAGGCTCACAAAACGTATTGCCCTCATCAACTTACCTCTCACAAAATTTAACTCATATTTTATCAGTAAGCTCATCATGAATGAGGAATAACATGTTAGTTATAAGAGGATTTGTGTTAACAATGAATTAGTGCAAATTTATCCAAGTAAATGTCAACTCTTAATTCAATCATTTTTTTTCTTTTTGATATTATGAATCCACACAAGTGTTTCGCTTGAGTTACTGTGGAGCAACTCAATTCACAGATACATATTACCATTTCTATCATGCTTCTCTTAAAACAGACAATATGAAAGCTTGTACTCATATGTTGCTGGCATATTTAAAACATTTTGCAAACTGGTTTTTTTTCCTTGCATGAGCCAATATAATCTCAAGTAGTTGTATGGTTGGTATTTGTTGGTTGCTGTTGTTTCCTATTATATGCTTGTTGGGTTGCTGATATCAATGAGAAAAGTTTCATTATAGTTTATGTTGCACGGTAGGGTGCATTTTTTTTTTGTGCAAATTTTTTTACTAATTTTGGCAATGCTAAAGTTGTATCCTTATATACTCAATTTTAATACATACCACCCAATTCTCATGTATTTACATGTCCACTACTTAAACTTCTTTCATCTATGCCACAAAATTTTCACATCAACTAAAAAATACTAACTTTCTAAAAGTGAAATGCACATTTTCATACACAGTTAAGAAGGCATGTGTAAAAATTGAAGTTTAGATGTACTTTAGAGCCCTTTTTTTTCCCCTTCACAAATTTTAAGAACAGAAAATGCCTTTGATGTTGTCATGCCCAATATGTAAATATACTTTTGAATTCTGTAATGTTGGGAAAGCTTCTTGTGCTCTAAAATATTGTTATTGAGCTTGGGGTGGTTGTAGTTTGGGGTGATGGTTTTGATTGTGGCTTGAGGTGGTGGCTGTGACTTGGGGTAGTGGCTATGGCTTGGGCCAAAAAGTGGTGGTTGTGGCTTGGGATGATGGTTTTGGGTTATGGCTTGGGGTGGTGGCTTTGGGCTGTGGGTTGGGGTGATGGTTTTGGGTTGTGACTTCGAGCGGTGGTTGTGGCTTGGGGTGAGGGTTTTGTGGTTGTGGTTTGGGCCAAAAAGTGGTGGTTTGGGACAAAAAGTGGTGCCTTTGGCTTGGGAAGGTGGTTGTGGCTTGGGGTGATAATTTTGGGTTGTAACTTGTGGTGATGGTTTTGCGGTTGTGGCTTGGGATGATAGTTTTGGGTTGTGGCTTGGGGAGGCTTTGTTGTGGGCTATGGTTGGGCTGGTTAATTATTGGCATGTGCATATATTGTTGCATTTTTATTTATGTAGCTTTGTTTTTTTTTTTTCTCATAGTAATACAATTGTTGAGACCAAAGAGGCTGGTACACACACACTTTGGGACAAACCAAAATAATATTTTTATAAATTTTGCCTCAAAAAGATAGATTTGGGAAATAGATCTACAACTAATTTCAACAAAGAAAAATAACAAAATATTATCAGAAAATTCAAGGAAAGTACAGCCAGAGTGTACGATAGGATTAAATTAAAGAACAATTGAGATCAACTCAAGAAGGAATAGAAAATTTTGAAAGAGATTGAAAGGAGGATTAACGGGTCTGAGGTGAGATCCGGTGAAGCGGCCCATTAATGCTCCCGAGGAGTGGTTGGCAGAAAGAATTGTGGTAAGCATTTTTGACATTTCTCCTAATTTAGTCAATTTAATTTTTTTTTTTTAAATTGAACTAGGTGTTATGAATTTGTGTGTAGTACCGCTGCAAAGAAATTTAAAAATCAATGAACTAGATACATTGTTGGAGAAGTTGAATCAAATGTTTAGGAGTGTCTTTGTTAAGGGCAACTATGCACGTGCCCCCAACGAGACAGTTTAGTGGCACTCCCGAGAACTTCATAGCCGGCCAATCAGATGATCAACCGAAGTCCCCAGCCCGAGCCTCCATAAAGTTGAGTCAACCTGTCATTCCAAGCGTCTGCGAGTTGAGAATAGAAAGGAAGTTGGGGATGTTTTTCTTAGAAGCCAGATATCACAGTCGGTGGCCGCTTGCAGCGCTGAACCCCACACATCTCAAGCAAATGCTATCGATCAGGTCGTGCAAATTCTGAATGCAACTAGAGAAATTTCTGAAAATTTGTCGCTATACTTGTTTGCAGTGGAATTGCTTAAAGATCCGACCCGTAGATATTTTTTTGTCAAGATTCCCGAAGACCATAGTATGGCGTACCTACGGCGTTTTTATGATTGCAAGAACACTAGAGAAACTTTTCTTTATTTACATTCGCTTGTGATATTGATGTCTATGTATTGTTATTTATTTTGCTATGGAAATTTAAATCGTTTGGTGCTTGTCTTATTCAGCGATGCTTATATGTTTATTGTGATGTTTGTACCCAATGAATTTATATCTAATTTATTGATGTTTCTGCGTCAGTTAATACGATACTGATATACATGGATACAACCAAAAAAAGGCGCAGAAGAAGAGTTGCAGTTGTCATATGCATGATGGAGGAGCAATACAACTCCTACATAGATCGCTCCTCCTGCATGACAACCTCGAATATTGGGGACAAATGGGTTCAGAAGTTGTTTGCAGGTCACCCAACAAGATTCAACAATATGTTCCGCAAGACACAAGCGGTATTCAACGATCTGTTGGAGGTACTGCACAGGAATCATGGGCATCATAGCCCTTAGAGGATGACTTCGGAAGAGGTATTGGCGATAAACCTCAACAAATTTTCCCAGAAGGAATCAATGCGACGGCAATAGAGCATTTTCAGCACTCCTCTGAGACAATGTACAGATACTTCTCAGTGGGATTGAAGACACTTGTGAGTTTTTTCCGCACAAGTCATAAAGCCATCATATCCAACATTCGAACGGATCCCACGATGAACGGTAAATGTCTTTCTTTAAGGTAATGTCCTAAATTTGCTACATTCAATTTACAAAAAAACAACATTATCACGTAACTCATTATAATCTTTCCACAATTATATTGGAGCAATCGATGGAACACAAGTTGATGCACGTGTTCCAAATAATAAGAATATCACATTCATCGGCCTTTGTGGGTCTTCAATGCATAATATCCTGGTTATGTACTGCTCCCGACAAAATATAGTTATGTAAAAATTATAAAATTGACTTCGATATGTAACAGTGTCAAAAATTCATCGGCCTTTGTGGGTCTTCAATGCATAATATCATGGTTGTGTACTGATCCCGACAAAATATAGTTATGTAAAAATTAAAAAATTGACTTCGCTATGTAACAGTGTCAAAAGTTTGATGCAATATTTATGATTAAGAAATTTAAGCAATTAATGTTGGGATTCTATGCAAGTATACATATCGTTATCAAGTAATAAAGAACTTTCTATTTAAGCCACAAATATCGATCACACGGGGAAGATTTAAATTTGAAATGATAAATTAACTAGGAAATTCACAAAAAGAAAACAAAATTAATGTCACTAATTTCGAATTTTGAGATATTAGCAGAACTAAATTATTTAACTGTAGCAAAACTGAAATGCAAAATTTAAGCAGTAACTACTAAATTATTGAACTATGTTTATGTGATGAAGATTTCTTATGTGAAGAAGCATCTTTCCCACTACAATGAGATTTTGGTAAAATGAGATGACATAAATGATTTTAATATGTATTTTGTCAAATATGAGCAATTTTAATTATCTACCCTGATACAGTGTTATAGAAAATCATTGGCTAATCCCAAGTTTAGTCCCTAAATCCGTGGCTATGCTAGAAGGATACTGGCTCTCACTTCCCTTCACCTAAAGGCTAACTCTCGTTTTAATTTTTAAAAACATCACTTCCCTTCACCTGAAGGCTAACTCTCGTTTTAATTTTTAAAAACAAAGACCGAATTAGGAATTTTAGTCTGTCACCCTAAAATCTTCAATTCTACACCCAACATTGTATATTTTTCTATTTATTTGCATTTAATTCCATGAATGAAATTCTCCTTCATGAAATCAAATGAGATCCTCACTCTGTTGTAGAACTCATGCTT